GGGATTTGAAACGAACGACCCGGGATCGATCAGAGAGGCTCTGGAAATCTGCAGGGTGGGAGGTTTTGGTTTCAGAATGTCAGGATGTGATCGCGTCTGGTTGAAGGATGCCCCACCGAACATGCAACTACCTTCAAGCTGGCCGTGGCCGCATTGGGGTATAGGGCTCTTGAGCTATGAATGTCTCATGCCTGCAGCATGTCGCGCAGCTCGTCGTCGCTGCAGTATGCGCCTTCAAGTGGCACTGGAGAAGCGGGGATCTAGGTTCCGGAATAAGTCCATGATGTGATAAGGGTAACTATTCGGCATAATAGGGGAACCCAAAACTAGAAGAGGCAAAAGGGTACTACTCAGGAACCTAGTGATTGTGGCTCATACGGTGACCGGTGTTGTCTCGGGTGGGGTTTTCGAGAAGTATAGACATGTTCAGCGTTCAATGCAGACTAACGAGAACCCACCTCGCACCGAAATCCTAAACACTAAGCCATATACTACTGGCACTACTAATAGATAGCAGTATAGTGTATAATTAGTATATAACGATTGCAATATTCATTATTAATATAAGACGCCTACACCTTAAAAAAGACCCCTTTAAGAACTGAAGCACTGCAGGTTAGGTTTTTGGGGCTTCAGGGCAGGACTCCAAGTTTCGGCTCACCGTCGGGCTTCGGTTTCAGGGTTTAGGGCTGGAGCTCCGAAGGGGGCCCAAGCTAGGTTCGTACAGGACAGAGCATCACGGAGGTATAAGTTAGAAGTGGCCCCCACGAAAAATAGTGGTATAATAGGAATATAACTGGGCCCTAATCTAATCCTTATAGTCACTATTCCAGGGTGGGGGCAGCTTCTAAGGTATCAGGTATGAAATGACCCGATTCCTGGAACAACGGGAGCGGAACTCAATATCAGCTTGCCGCTTCTTGTGAAACCTGATGCAAGAGCCTTGCTATTCCCGTATGTACCCCCGAATTGCTACATGACTTTGCCGTGCCACCCAGCCTGCATCAAACTTTCCCTACCAGGCACGCAAATCCCAATTTGGGGACGCCCGGTGCTTCACCCTTGCCCGAAAACACGCGGCCCTGTAATCTCAAACCAGCAAGTTGCCAAAACATGATATGGCCTTACCCCCTTAACCGTAAACCGTTCCAAAACCAACCAAGATCCCCAAACTGGCAGTGCGGGTGCAAACCCTAAACCCAACACCCACCACCACACCACAGGGAGGGGGGAAGGGGGTTAAACACTAAACCTGACATCGACAGCCCACGGTAGAGGGAGGTTAAATAACCCAAAACCCCCCACCACACTACCACAGGGGGATGAGGGGGGTTGAACAACCCAACCCGCCACACCAGGCCACAGAGGGGCCGGGAGAATCAATTTGTGTGTGTATAAGGGACCATGACCATGGGGGGGGGGGGGGGGGGGTTACAATATATAATATATTATATATATATATATATATAGATAGATATATATAGAGAGAGAGAGAAAGAGAGAGAGAGAGAGAGAGAAAGAGAGAGAGAGAGAGAGAGAGAGAGAGAGAGAGAGAGAGCGAGAGAGAGCGAGAGAAAGGCCCTTGAAATTAAGACATCCAGACCTTGGTCGCCCTTGTCGTCGACCAGCCGGCTGAAGGCGGCTAGATTCAACTGGGCTTTCATTTGGCATTCATATGTCTCTGCTGTTGGTTTGAATCAGGTTTTAGGGTTCAGGCTGTCAGCTGTTTCGGGTTTAGCACTCGGTGTTTTGGGTGCTAGTGCTAGGGTTGAGTGGGGGGGGGGGGGGGGCTAAGCATGACTTCAGAATCACACGGCGGGAAAAAGCGTGTCCCATTCGGTCTGTGGGGCTTTCCGTTGAGAGCTGGGGGCCCCCTCTTCGTGCGTAAGGGACATAGCACAAAGTAACCGTCGGACCCTCAGAGATGGAAGCCACGAACCTCGACTGCCCTGATCTGTGTTGGCCCTGAAGCCTAACAAGCCGAGCCCTGCTGAAACCGATTCAAACTCCTGAACATGCCAAAGACCAAAACACACAGACTTTGTACCCTTCCTCGGCGGCTGGCCCCTTGACTGGGTCGGGCACCGGACTCCTGCTACGAAGCAGGCTTGAGGGCAGAGTTCTTCTTGAGCATGGTAGGGCTTGTAAGACTCGTTCAGAGGTCCTTTTAATCGACATCGCGGCTTCATGGATTGGGTGTGCAGTTGGGTCGGCTTAGATTTCCTTTTTGCGGGTTTGGGTTTGGGAGACATGACAGGCCTCCGGGATTAATTATGAAGGCCCCCATATCACCCTCCACACACCGCCCGTAAGATTCTGGCTTCACCGAAAACCCGAGAAATCGAAAGGTCAAGCGGGTATAATGACAATGGTACTAAAGTAGAAGCCAAAGAATTCGTATGAGTCTTGGAGAAACAAAACAGGATGAGGAGCTTAGGAGAACCGCCATAGCCCTAGAGCCGCACATCCCCTGCGGCTCCGGTTCCGGAAACCCTGGGATGATGAGATGATGAAAACTGCCTGTGTGGAAGCGGGACCACAATGATGCTATCAAGAACAACCTTTCTGCTTCACGTACACTGCCCTAAACGCTAAACCCGATACACGGTTTGGGAGGTCTTTGCTTTTTATGCGACTTTGCCTTTCGTACCAATCGCTCCTATGCAGCCACAATCTCAAACACCATATTAACGACAACCTTGTCAACCCAGCACAACACTGCAAGAGTATACAGCCTGATTTCAACTTGTATGGACACTGTAACCATAGGACGCTGATGGAAAAAACGGAACCATCAAGGAAATCCCACATGTAACTGGTCCATGCCCTGGTGCACCCCACAGCCCAATACACGGGTCGCTTTGATTCGAGCAGGGTACTACTCGGATATAGTATGGCAGAGTGCTAACAGGGAATATGCGGAGGCTGTAGGCGCGGACCACTACTAGTTCTTACTTCAGATTCCTCAAACCGCAAACCCTAAAGCTCGAACCCTATAAACCCTAAACCGGAAATTCAGATGTCTATACTATGTTGAGCCCGGGCCTGACCCGAACCCAAACCCTCAAGCCCCCAAACTCAAACCATAAACCTTAAACCGTATAGAACAGACATGGGTGGTTGTCAATACTAGGGTCCCTTCTTGGCTATCCTTAATAATAGATGTCGTATTATGTTAAGGACCCCCAAAAGGGGTCCTAATTTTGACAACCACCCATATCGGCCCCGCAAGATCAGCCAAGGAAGCCTTACCTCCTGACCCCTAAGCCCTGGAAACTATGGCTCTGCCACCGACTCTTCGGATTTCGACATCTCGTGTTTCCTCAACCCCCGATACTTGCACACCCGCCGAGATTAGAACCCCAAAAGCCCATCATACAAACCTATCCAACATCGCGGGACCCTTGCCCCCTATGGCCTATGGCACATCCTCTAAAATCTCTGAAGCCAACGTCTTACATCAACCTTACGAAAGATAGCAAATACCCCAAATCCTAGAGCACAAACCTTGTACCAAACCTCCTGAGAGCTTCGGAAAACGGGACCCTCATTTTTTGAACGAGCCCTACACCCTGATGTACGGGCCTTAATACTTAGAAAAGGGTTTTGGGGGGCTCCTTATTACAATCATAGTATAATGTACACCAAAACCCTATTCTAATCATTACCCTGACCCTAAAGCCCTGAAGAAATTCGATGCTTGTCATGGGAAACCAACCCTTCACGGGAAAGCCCGCAGTTCAAGAATCGCAATCGTAAAACCCTTACAGAGCCCCCAGAAATCCAAAGCCCGCACAGTACTCTTACACCACCATTACGAAAGCCGTTAAACTCGTATAACACTCTTACAGCCATCCTTACCAATCTCTTCTCATGAACGACTTACAAACACCTTCAAAACTCCTATAGAAAGCCCTTAACAAGAACTTACGAAACCCTTCCAAAAAATGAAAGTCCTCAGAACAATCCTTACACAAACCCTTAAATCGCTTGTCAGACCCTTACACTCTTTTCTCTCCGCGGAGGCTCTCAGCTGCAAGTCGAGCCGACGTTAACGTGCTACTGGCGGGCCCCTGCTGTCGGCCATGTGGTCTTTACGAGTTTGGTAGTGAGGTATTGATATTAAGGTTTCGGGTTTGAGATTTGCTATGAGGCCTATAAGGATGAGAGTAGGGTTACTCTACGGGGTACTTTAAGGTGACTAGAAGGGCACTACATACTCAAGGTTACTATGAGGCGATGGGTGTGGGCTCAGGGTCCAGGCTTTCCGACGCGAGGCTTCTCGGTTCATCCTTGTGTTGACTATACTGAACTTAGAACCCTAGCAAAAATTATAATTTCAGCTTGTTTCTTAGGGATTATAATAACCAAAAACTTAAAAATTGTTTCTAAGTACCCCTAAGATGAGAACATCCGGGATTTCGGGGGCCTCGGGCATAGTCTGCGGATTCGGAGGCGGAGTCGTGAATCACCAGAAGACTTAGCCCTATCCCTCCAGGGACCTCATAGTTGGGGCCCTAGACCCCTTAAGGACCCCATAATAAGGTCCCTGGAGGCATAAGGTAGTTGGGTAGAAGTAATACAGGGGCCCTAGCAACTGGAGTAGGTTTCAACTTTGGTGGGGTATACTGGGCTTTTAAGTAACCAGGGAGGAAAAAGTACAAACTTGTATTTCGTAATGGTGCCATTACGAAAAAAGCTTTAAAGTATGGTTCTCCAAAGCCCAGTACATTGTATTGATGAAAATATAACAGGAAGCCCTAAGCACAAGGGTGTCACAAGTACGGTAACCTGGTGCATGTAGCCTCGTGACTGATACAGGGGCCTTCATTTTTAGAACAGGGTTTTGGGGTAGATTATACTATAATCACATATTGAGGAACCCCCAAGATAATAGTATAGGTAAATGTTGAGGCCCGGATAGTAGGCTTCATGATCCTGCAAGTTCCACACACAAAGCTGTGGCTGACAGCGGCAGGACACCGCAGGGCTAACGAGCCTCACGTTTTGAGAAGCTTGAAGCAAATGAGCACGAACACCATCAGTCCCACGACCACGAAGATGCCATACCTATGGTGCTTTGGGTGTGCTGCAAGGTGCCGGCAAAGCTCTACATTGAGGGCTTTACAGGGTTTGGCAGGGCTTGGCTTGTAGTATTCTACAGGGGCTTTGCAATGCTTGGAAAGAGCTTCGCAAGGTTTTCATAACCTCATGATCATAATACGGATTCTATGGATATATATGTAATGTATATATAATGTGGTGTATTGCGTTTTTGCTGATCAAGGTGTTGTAGAAGTCTTCGAGTTAAAGGACTGTATACTTTAGGGTGTGGGGCGTGCCCTGCTGCCCCTAAGCCTGCCAAACAGGAGGCCCCGACCCCGTCTTGGGCTAATATAGGGGCCTTAATGATTAGAACAATAGTGTTTTGGGGCCCATTATACCATAACTACAAGAAGGAGCCACCGAAAATAGTGTAGGCAAGTATTTAGGCCCCTAGATTACGGCAAAAGCTCTTGAAACAACAGGTTACTGGATCCAGGGCTACAGTTTGAGACTCGCAGTTTTTTATTGCGGCTTACTCGTAACTACATTTGGGCTTCTATACAAAACTCCTCAATCCAAAGGCCTGAAATAACTTATTCCTGAAACTGGAGCTCTCCATCCTGAACCTTCAACTCTGCGCCATAATCCCGGATGCGAACAGAACGAAACAAGTACGTTAACCCTGAACCGTAATCCCACTACCCTGAACCCTATCCGGCCCAGGGTCTTCTGCAACATCGTCCTGATGAACCGTTTCGGGTCAGTGACGGCTTGGTTTGGTTTCCGGGGATGTCTCATCCCGATCTATCTGTCTGTCTGTCTCTCTACCGATCTACTCCTCACCTACCGACCGACAGACCGACCGACCTGCCTAGCTAGCCACCTACCTACCTCTCTATCTGCCTGCCGAACTATCCGTCTATCTAGCTGTCAATCTGTCTACCTGGCGAACCATGCATACATACATATACATTTTTACGTAGTTATAACCAGACATAAAGACTGAGAGGGAGAGAGGGGTAGGGAGGGCGAGAGAGGGGGAGAGAAGGGGAGAGAGGTGGAGAGGGAGCGAGAGAGAGAGAGAGAGAGAGAGAGAGAGCGAGAGCGAGAGCGAGTGCGAGAGCATGGGGGAGGGAGGGGAGAGCCAGCGGGCGAGAGAGCGAGAGCGACGGAGAGGGGCACTCAGCGGTTGAGGGTTTGGGTTCTCCCGCCACATATTAATCATCCATTCTTTCAAGCATCTGCATTGGGTTCAGGGTGCACAAGGTTAGTGAGCCGCAAGCGCAGGACACGGTGATACTGTACCATACAGCTGGCCAGATGCTGACGACGACAACCAAGGTTTGCTGCAGAGGCAAGACTAAATACGACCTAAACCCTAAGCCTGAAAACTTTAAGCTTTAAGCCAGAAGCCAAAGAGTTCAGCATCCGAAACGCCCAAAACCGAAGACGGAAAAACCCATAAAGCCTCAGCGCCGAATCAACCGAAGACCGGCTTCCATTGGTTTCCGCGATAACACCTTGCTTTTACGATGTCATATGAATTCTGTGAATAGTGGTTCTTATTAGGGCTACCCGTTGTCCCCATCCAGTTCAGTAAGCAAGCAGCTGAAAGCTCAGCTGCTGCGTCATGCTGCGGAACTTCTTCGACTCCTCCTTGATGCTGTTGGCCTGGCTTTTGGGACATCACTTGAGCATCATATTTTCGGTGCGGTGGTTTCAACACGGCTTGAACCCTTTGCACTAGTATGATGACGTATTTTGTGCTGGTTTGTACAAGTCCTTGCAGTGTAGACCCTTGATGAACAAGCCCCCCTACCCTCATCAAGGATTACAGTAGGTTTCGGGGGTATAGTTTACAATCATAGATAATGCAACCACGTTAGGCCCTGAACATTGTATACTACTACCAGTACTAATAACAGACAATAATCACAATAAGTACAATTATTGGGGCCCCCTATTAAACCCGAAACTCTGAACTCAGAACCCTAAACTCTAACTAAACCCTAAACCCATAACCCCGAAACCCCGACCCCTAAACCCCTAATCCGTAAACTCGAAACCCCGCACCAGGCCTTCCGCCCGACGGACTCCAGGTTCTCGCCACGCTTCAGAATCTCATCGATGTTCTGCCTGACATCTTTATTCACTGTACCCTATGCCTTCAGGAACCTCATTATGGGGTCCTTAATGAGGTCCTTGGAGGGATAGGGGTAGGCTTAAGATTTATTGAGTGTTTCCGGTGGTTTAGAGACATCTTTGGGCTTTCAAGGTTTTGAAGGCTTTTAAGGCTTGGGTCTCTTTACAGTGTAGCTGCAAAACACCCAAGTTTTCTTCTGGTTTGGGGGTTCCCCAGATGTCGAGAACGCCAGGCGCCGTTGAAGGATAAGGATTGCGCGGAGTCCCCAAAAACCCTCCCACAGCCCCATAAACCCCTCCTGCAAAGGAGACTAATGAACAGGCCCTATGAGCATGAGGTCCTCAAGCCTGCACGCCCCGAGACTCAAGCACGAAGCCTTTACACCAGAACACCCAAGCTGAGACGTACTTAAGGATCCAGTGCGAATATACATACTAACTTTACCAACAGCTCCGTCTAGACGGATGTCTTAGGGCCCGGGAAAGAGCCCGGCTTGAGGGATTTGGATCTTGGCATTCGCTCGGAAAGCCCCGAGACAAGCAGAAGGAAGGCCTCATGATGTTTGAGACTTCCTGGAGGTTGCTGTTCCTCAGCAACCAGAACACTAGGCTTCAACTCCCGGGTTTTGGAACTTAGGTACGTGAAGTTCGCGGCTCCGAGGTTCATGCTGCAGGCCGGCACCGTTCGGTGTGTACGACATGCTACTCGGGTAACATGATCATAAAACATGTCTTTCAACCCAAACAACAACGTACGTAAGCACCCATGCAGGGGCATATGCGCAAATGTGGCAAGCCCCTTTTGTTGTAGGAACACTGTTTTTGTGCCGCATACCGTTTCTGGGATCTTGTGGGAGAAGCCCATAGCTCTAGACCCTACAACTGCTGGCCGGAGGAGCAGCAGCTGGTAACATATAGCAGTGGTACGAGGATGACACGGAGAAGTACCACCACCACCACCACCACCACCGCCACCACCACCGCCACCACCACCACCATCACCACCACCACCACCACCACCACCACCACCACCACCACCACCACCACCACCACCACCACCACCACCACCTCCACAGCAACAGCAGTGGCAGCAGCATCAACCGAAGTAAGGTCTAAAACAGCAGCATTGCAAACACCTGGGCCCAACAAACAAGCTCCTAACCAAACCCCCTTTACCAACAAATCCACCAAAGCTTAAACCCCAAGCCCCTAAACCCCAAACCGTAAACCCTTACAGCCCCGAAAATTGGAACCCCAAACCCCTGAACCCCTAAACCCTAAACCCCAAATCTCTAAACCCCTGAACCATCTAGGACCCTAGAAAAAAAGGGGCTCTGCATGCTCCCGATCCGAGGCTCAGTTTACTGAGCGCTTTCGAGGACTTCGGGTCCCGGTACTCAGTGTTCTTCCTTAGCCAGTAGGGTTTTAGGGTTTAAGTTTCAGAGCTCGGGTTTTAGCCTTAGCCTTATTTGATTTGCTTTAAAGCTTCAGGGTCTGAGTTTTAGTGTTTTAGGCCTTAAGCTTTAAGGTTTTAGGGCTGGCTTTGGGTTTAGGGCCAGGATTTTCTAAGACTTTAAGGCCCTTGGCGGACTTCTGAACCCCTCCTAAAAGTTAAACTTTTGGCCTCCTTATTCTAGTTCATACAGAAACCCAATAGTTAAAGTCTAAAGAGCCAACCAGAAGAACGCCAAGGGCCATGGCTGGTGTTGCGGGATATGGAATTTTGGAAGGGGCTTCTATGGGGATTTGAGAAGGATGGGGTTCCCAGGCCGTGTATGGGGCTTCCTTCATAGTTATAGTTGATCGGCGAGAGCATTGCTATAGGGGTGCAGCTAAGCGAGTACTTTCCAGCGCGGGCACGCACGGCGACATGAAAAACACTAGAAACAAACTCGCGCAATGGATGTGCCAGAGCATGCAAGACACAGCCAACAGCTCGTATATGAATTATACCGTCCCCTCTCGTGCCTGACTAAAAGTAATCTCCGAGCCGTGCAGATATTGTCATGTTTGCGGCGAAACTTCCGATCTGGCGTGTAGGGCTTTTATTGATGCGTACAAGGGCTTTCTAGACGGCCCTGACAGTCTCTGCAAGGTTTTCAATGGGGCTCTGGGGGTTCTGCTTTGTCTGGGTTCTTTCGGGCGTAATTTTCAAACATCGGGGACTGAAGCTTTCACTTTTGCTGAGATGCTGATTCAGCTGGAATCTGAACAGATACAGAAATGCCCCATCAAACCACCCTGCCAAAAGAGATTCTGCAAGAAGCACTCCTAGACCCTAAATCCTTGACTGTGATGTGCCTCCCACTGCGCAATCATAGTGTCGGGACCATGCGATATTTAGACAAGAGTTTGGGGTTTAGGGTATAGCGTTTTGGGCTATAATCTACTACAAAGCCATAATATGAAGCAGACCTAGGACTGAAGTTAAATCATTCTAAGTTCCCCGGTGTCCCCTTGATAATATATAGGGTACCTTTTTATGGTATTAGGTTTTAATAAGGGAACCGTAGAATCAGTACTTCTGGGCAACCCAGCATCTTTTAATCTTACTTGTCGAGTCTCATGCGGGAACCTATGGTGTTAACCTTTGGGATTATAGGGACTACAACGCCCCAAAAGGCTAAAGGCTAACTAACCTACTACTAAGAAGAACCCTTATAGAACTCTACGGGACAAACCCTCATAACCCCTGTAATACCACCCGAAAAAGGTTCAAAGTTACCTACTCCAACTAAGTACAGCAATCATACAACCTCCGAAATTAGTCCCGGAGCAGCAATCGCTGGTCCCGTGCTTACGGGCTCCACGGCACCGCGCAGGCTTTATAGGGCGTCTGCACGGTTTTTATAGGGTTAGAGAGGATTGTTTTGATGAATTTCAAGGGGGTTGGGGTGTTGGCCTTCACGTTTAGGGTTTAGAGGTTTGAGTTTTTTTGGGCTGAGTGATTTCAGTGCTTCGGGATGTAGGGTTCTAGAGTATGGGGTCTTGGGGGCTGCTTCACCTGATACATTCTGCACAAGGGTTTCAGTCTGCAGGGGTCGGGGCTTCGGTTTTACACTTGGTCTTCAAGGTCAAGCACAGCCGAATGTTGAGAGGTTATAAGGCCCAGATATTCCTAGAAATTCCCTAAATTTTAACATACCAAGACCCGAATGAAGCTCCGAAGGCCTGAGCCTCAAATCCCAAGGCACCAAAGACTTCCCCGGCCATGTCAAATAGAGCGAGCGCTACGCCGCTACGCAAGATAAGGCCCTGTCTCCGAGAAGCCCTTCTGGTCCAAGGCTCTTTGTTATTTGCCTGTCGAACTTGATGAAGTAGTATGGTTTCTCCTGGGCCAGCCACGTCAGGGTTTGGGGCCCTTGACCCACGCTCAAAACTCTAAACTCCAAATCCCTAAGTTCAAAACCACCAAACGCCCAATCCTAAGCAGAACCCAAGCAGATCCCAACGGGCAACCCTTACAGAACCCTTGTAGCATCGTTTTACGGTGGACCGTAAAGAACCCATGGACCTGGCGGCTCCTCGCAGGAGGAGTCATAAACACAAAAACCCTGTACAATCGTGGAAAGATTCCTATGACACACTAGTAAAAGAAGCCCCATGAGGGGAGGAGTTGAATCTATGGGCTTCGCTTCAGGGCTGTAGGACAAGGATGAAAGTCTATGGCTTCAAGGACATGGGTTCTGATGTAGGGCCTCAGAAAGGGTTCTTGCAAGGGCTCGGGATCTCGGCTTTGTATGGTTTTTGGATTTTCGTGACTGTGGAGTGTATCCGCTTACAGGCTTTGCTGATGGGTTCCAGAGTTTCAAGATTTAGGATGAACCATTTTGGGTAGGGATCCGAGTTCAGGTGCAACATGTTATGGCGGGCATGGCAAGAACTGCTCCGATTGCTTCCGCTTGTCGCTCTCTTTGCTTGCAGCACCTATTCCTATTGCTGTGCTGCAGGCTTCTGCTCCGTCTGACGGCAGCACAGTGCGTGCAATCACTGTTGCTCGCATGCATGAAAGTTCTTATGCTCATAGGTCCATCGCTGTCAGCAGTAAGTACTGTTTTGATGTGTGTAGGCGCCGGAACGCTGAATGCAGCGGAGGCGCAATGGTCTCAATGTGAGACCGGTAGTCTACAGAACCTGCCCAGGGCAGCTTTGCAAGAAGATCCTGAACAAAACCAAAACCCTAAACTTAGGCCCGAAATCCTTCACTGCGAATCGTCAGCCGTAGAATCCAAGTTCCCCAACCTCATCCAAACTCGAAACACCAAAGAGAGGCTTGAACAGTCTGGTTTTCTTTTGAGAAAACTGATCCCTCTACGGCTTCCGGATTGCCAAATACTCCAAACCCTAAGCCGGTGAGCTCGGATGATTCCCAACACAGGCTCTATTTCAACATTTCGGATTTCGCCCTTCGAGGCGTCAGGTTCAGGGGTTCAGGGCTTGAGATTGATATTATAGGGGCATAAATAATTACCAATGTGGTTCCTTATTAATAAATATGGAGGAATGGGCCCCCAAAACCCTAGTCTAATCTTTCGAGCCCGAAAATCAAGGCCTTGCCGCTGGATTTGGGATTCAGAACCCAGAACCCAGGATAGGGTGTTTATATATGGTACCTTAAGTTAAGTCCTCTAACAAGAACCCAGGAATAGGGGAGATGCAGGCTACGGTTTCGTGAGTTTCGCCCCCCCCCCCCTGGCCTGTGCCAAACTCCCTCTGGAGCTCCTGCTGAAAGAGCATGTGGATATCCTGCAGCAGCCCGGAGTTCTGTTTCAGGATTTTTAGGGTTTGGGGTTTAGGCTTTTGGGTTTGGGGTTTACAGGTGGCTGGAAGCAGGTGGCTGGAAGCGAAGTGGTGGCTGGAACGGCGCAGGGCAAGGTAGGGCTGTACGGTCCGGAATGGGGTGGGGCTGAGGTCTAGTGTTCTTTCTTCTTTCCTGAATTCGCTGTGGCGCACAGCATGGTGGGTGGCAGGTGGGCGGCTGGCCAGGGGCTGGTGGGTGGTTGGAGAACGGCTGGAGGGTGGTGGCCGGAGGGCCGTGGCAGGAGAATGATTGTGTGACTGGTGTGGCTGGTCTGGTGAGTATTCGGCATGGCGTGTCGCTACCGAACGGAACCGAAACTCCGCAGTACTGGCAATACATATACCGCTGAACACCGCATACGTATCGGTATCGACCGAACCGCCCGAATACAACCATGTAAATGCATGGTAAACTCTCGTCAACGCTGTCTCGCGCCGTTCGACTCAAAGGAGAGCGACAAAAGCCCTCTCTTTCCGTCGCACACACACCTCAAACAGTCAAACACCCTACATGCCCAATTCCCGAAAATCGTAAGGCTAAAGGCTTCCTTAGCCTACTAGAACCTGCCTCTTCAATGCAGGTTCCCACAACAAGCCGTTGCATAGACCTCGTAGGGGTCATACAAAAGAGGTGGTACTCTTGGCATGTCATCGAAGCCTCAATCTTGCTTACCGCATTATAGTAGAATACATTTAGAAACCCTATTCTAATCATTAAGGCCCCTAAACCCGATAACACCCTTATAAAACCTCCGAAGGACCGTTATGAGAACCCCAATTAAACAAAAACACCTTATCTTGCAGCACCCAACCTCGAGGAAGCAAAAGGCCAGGTTCTTTGGGTAGCCTTGGGCTGTCCGAGTTTGGGGCTGCTTATGGTTGAGGGTTCTGGGTTCTGAATCCCAGATCCAGCAGTTCGGGTCGAGGCATGGACGTGTAAAGACCCTCTCGCAGGCCGTTCGTTGCGGTTGGTTGTAGAATTTGGGCTTTAAGTCCCCGGAAGAATGTACTCTAAATCCGAATGGTTGCTGGGATCTAAGATCCACGTATTTGGATGCTTGTCACCCTGGGGCTACGGACTTGGGGACAGGCTGCAGACCAATGCCGGACGTAGGTTCGACAGAGTTGAACCCCACAAGGGCCCCATAGCCCGAAGCCCTCCACATTTTGAGCCCTTACGCCCCCCCCCCCCCCACTGATTTCCACAGTTCAAACGTTCACAAGAACACTCTGCCGGATCAGATCACCAAAAGTTGACATGGTCATAGGCGCCATGGTAGTTCCTTCTTAATATGTAGAATCCTATAAGGTAATCCCAAGAAAGGAACTACTATGGAGCCTCTGGGCGGTCCTGGAATGTTCGCAAACCCAAAAGATCCTGCGAGGGGAGCTCCAGCCAGGGTAATGTAGGGGCCTTAATAATTGCAATAGGGTGCCTTGATAGGGTTCCCTTTAGACGGATCTATAAGGGATCTATAGTAAGGTTCTACAGTATAGGGGCCTTAAAAGCTAGAATATGGTTTTGGTGCATAATATACCATCAGTGCATTAAATAGTATTGGTAATTATGTAGGCCCCTATATGAATGCGTCCGAGGCGCCCTTGTCAAAGAGGGCCATGTAGCAAACGCCTCAGTTTCGGCACAGAGAGCCACTGATGAACTAGCGGGTCCTGCTTTGCTTGGGAGAGAGACAAGGGGGGTTTAAGAAATATGGGTCCTCCCCTAAGGAAACCCGAAGCCCCAAACCCCGTCACCCACCATCCGAAGCCAGATGGCCATTTTCCATGGTGTAGTGAAAAACGAATTCGCCAGCTCCTGCGCAGAGAGCCAGGAAAGGTCATCCGCGTTGGCTTCTAACGTTTATACTGGGCTCCACAGGGTTAGAGAGGTTTTACTCGGATATCAAGCCCCGAAACTTACCCTCACTTGCCGCAATAAGGAGCTGCGTATGCACTCACCAAGACGGTAACATGAAGCCTACCTCATGGCTTCAAGGGGTCTATGTGAGTGTAAAAGGCTTACTTGACAGATCATGAAACCTTGAAAGTAGGTTATACTTAGGGTTGTCAGTACCTTACAGGTTGGGGCTTCTGCACTTATGGATATGACTCAGCTCTGACTCTTACTTGCCTCAAATCGTGCGGATATTCAGACTTGCAAGTCCTGTCAGGGTCCCCTTCATAAACAGCACTGAGGGAGAGGAGATTCAACAATCAAGAGCCTTGAACCCCACTTCCTAATCCCTACACTCTGAACTCAGAAAACATGCTCAAGCTTGGGCTACGCGGGAATAAAGCCCTTATATGCCCTCACAATAATTTCGGGGCCTTGATCATGATAATGGGGAACCTCAAGCATGCTCATATTCAACTTAAAGCCCAAGAAAGCTAAGCAACGTGTAACGAGATCCCACGTCCCGAACTCTACAGCTCCAATCCTACAGGGGCCTTGATAGTTAGAATAAGGTCTTGGGGCCCATGATACAATAATTACAAGAAGGAACCCCCGAAAATAGTATAGGTAGTTGTTAAGGCCCCTACAGCTTGAGCTTTAGGGTCCTTCCGTTGGGTCATCTTTGAGCAGCTACGACTGTCAATACTTTACGTCCCATACCCAGTCTTCTGGAGCTCGCGGTCCTTCGACGGAACATCTCGGCGGCATGTTATGCAGCTTTCCTGAGGGCTTCAGCGGATCAATATGAGCCTTAATAAAGAAAAGAAAAAACCTAAACACCCAAACCCAAAACCCCAAACTCCACCACCGCAAAAAAAAAAAACAAGCACACACAAAAACCGAAAAAGCAAACACAACCCCTGCAAACAAAAGCAACAACACACACACAACAAAATCAAACAAAAAAACAGAACAAGCGAACACAAGAACCCCTCAAAACCAAACCTCGAGGGCCCAAGTCGCGGAGGAGCTGCTTGGCCTGATCCTTGATCTGCTTCGAAACCTGGGTCTCGTCGAGCTTTAAGACATTCTGTTTCAAGAGAATACAATACACTACCAACAATCACACAATATCACATACGACAGTAGAATGTTGATAGAGCACAAGCACCCATAGTAGAATATGGTAGTTAGAATATATGATAAAATCGTATACCTTACATAACAAGCAACTTTAGCCAACAAACATAATCAGCATGATATATTCAGAAGCCTCTCCATGAACTCTGCTTCGACGTGTATGCTACTAAAGCTCATGCATTCCACCTCGCAGTGCCAGAAAAGATTGAGGCAGCACGAAAGTATGCAAGACAAGGCAGGACGCAGTGTCATAATGCTGAGTGCGGTGAGGCTTTGTGGTTTAGGGGAACTGTGCCTTGATCCAAGAGTTTTGCATTCTACCGCAACTTTTTGCAGTACAGCTGAGGCAGCACCGCAGAAGTTTTACGGAGGCAGCAGGACTAGGGAGCCCGTTAGACGGTGCAGCGCCCGCCTGGAAATGTATGTAGGTTCTTTTCTTGGGGGGAAAGAGCTATAGCCACAGGCTCCATAGTAGCCCCTTTTTGGGATTACCTTATAGGACCCTGAATAGAAACCGCAAAAAGGAACTACAATGGAGCCTATGGGTAGAGGCACAGCTACCATGAGGATGCAGGATTCTGCGTTTCCGCAGCTTTTGCGACCAGGGACCTGAAACCGTCCAACCCTCTGCGGCCCTGAACCCAAACACCAACAACACATAAAATGCAGAACTCATGATACTCAGGGCTCCAACTCTCCAAGCACATAAACTCCCGGAGCCCCAAAGCTTCTTACTTTCTAGACCTCTCTTGCAGCTCCAAGCAGCCTTGTTGGAGTCGTCCCACGTTTCTACCAAGATCAGTCCATCCAAGCTCCGCGCGATGAAGGTGACATGCGCCATGCCTTGCAAGAGAACCCGGCAGTGCAAGTTCAGAGCATATGGGTTAGAGGTGAAGGGCTTCAAGTAACCATTTTGGGCATGGCCACCTCACTCGAAGAATGGGGCTGAGGACTCGGGGCTGTGAGATTTCCCTTTTCAATCTTATTCATTGTGTTGAGGTCCCAATCCTACATTGGAGATGTGCGAGAGACATGCGGCTGCTGTCTGCCGACCTAGCCCTCCCATCGCTGTACTTGTGCACAGCAATGCCCTGTAATCGGCCGGCACACCATGGTGTAGAACGAGGCCCTGAAATCTAGAACTTCTCAGCCCGAACGTTGCGATAAGACCGTTAGGCCCACAAGGAACATGCGCATTTTCACAGCGGCTGGGGCTTATGCCATCAATAAACTCCCCCGGGGACGCCCAGAGCAAAGCATGGACACCCTCCACACTGAAGTTCCCCGAGCCCCATGTCGTTTGTACGGCCTGGAGGGTAACCGGAGGGTATGGGGTTTAGGAGTTTAGGAGTTTAGGGGTTTAGGGGTTTAGGGGTTTAGGGGTTTAGGGTTTAGTGCCCAAATTCCCAGCCAAAGCCTCACTGCCCTAACTCCTGAACCGGCAAGGTTTTGGAAACCCTCAAACCCACCAACCAAGCTCCCTTCCTCTCATTGGGTGTGGTTTCTAAGTACGTTTGTTTTCTCCAAGCCCTACGTGTTTGGCATACTTGGACCATAAATCCTATAAAGCCCAAAGTCAGACTCACCGCTAGACCCTATGCCCCAAACCTTTCATGGAACTCTTACAGAAGCCTTTGTAATACCATTAGACAAGACCCTCAGAAGCCTTTGTAATACCATTAGACAAGCCCATTGGCCCTCTCTGGGGAAGTCTGGCCTCTGACCCCGTGCGCCAGCGCCAGCGCCCGGGGAGCTCGCACGTGGCCGAAGAAAAAATGCTGCGAAAAGGCTCGGTGCTCTGGGTATTGGATTTAGGGCTTCGGCGCGCTTAAGATTTGAGCGCTTGGGGTCTTGAAGAATGTTGTGACGTTCTACAAGGTTTTGCAAGATCTTGCGATGGGGGCCTGAATGACTAGAACAGCTGAAAGAGGGCTACCAGGGGATATCACTAACGGTATTTACTAGTCCATCAGGCCGCTAGCGCACGGCTTAAGATGTAAAACGTCTAGGTTTGCGGGGAAAGCAAGTGTTAGTTTAATATCTTCAAAAGATCAGGAACTACACATTAAGACTGAAAGTGCAGTCTCCAGTTATGTCAAGGTATGAAACGACTTCAAGAGTCTGGGTATACGGTGTCAAGTGTAGGATTCTGGATCGTCCTATGAAGGAGAATGGGCATGGTACGGAACTTCAACAGGAAAACCTCCATAAAACAGACAATCCCATGCATCAGGGATTTTGTGCTTTAAATTACGAATGTAGACCCCTGTTAAGGAGCCGCCCTTTCTTTAAGGGTCTCAGCAGTAGAATCTCTGCTACACCGGTTGGGTTTGTGCGAGTACTCCACATACTGATTTATGAAACCCCTCCCCTATGTAGGGATTACAGGACGGGATCCTAAGATTAGGGCACGAAGGTTTGCTGCCATGGTAATCAGGGGTCGACATTATGCTTCGGGATTTAGGAATTGGAGGGTTTAACTTGGGGAAGTCAGCGCAACCCTTGAACCTAAATCCCCAAATCCACAAGCCTAAATCCCCAAATCAACCAAGCCTAAATCCCCAAACCCCCAAAGACCCAAACCCGAAAACCCCAACCCCTAAGATCCAAACTCCCGAAACCCACAAGACCTCAAAGACCCTGAACCTCAAAACCCCAAATCCCCAGTCCCCTGTACACACCAAGATGTCCAGTTCTGGACTCTCCATGGAGAACTGAAGATACGGGGGTCAAACATCATCTTGAAGGGGGGTTCGCAGTGATATAAATATATTAGCCATTCAACCTTTGCAATATCATGTTGAAGTAGATGTCTGCAGGGACTTTGTGGTGGTGCTTTTGGCTGATTGGTGTTTGGAGTGTAAGTTTCTTGAGTCCAGCAGGAGCTCCATGGTGAGGATGCAAGGTCCTGGCCTCTGAATCCATTACGCAAACCTGGCAACCGTAGTCGTATGATTGTACTGCGGACCGTGCTAATCATTCTGCCCAGATATGAAGCGTCGTTATTTCATATATGACACCTAGGCTTGAGACAACCTTCATCTGCAACGGACCGTCTCCTTGCAAAGGGCCGCAAACTCCTCCTTCCACGTGGCATCGTCGCCATCAAATCCTGTCAGTTCAGGACTTCTTCGGCTTCGGCCGAAACCAGCGACGAGTTGGATGATTAGGATTTAGGGTTGAGGGTTTAGGGGTTAGGGTTTATGTGTTTAGGGTTTGGGGTTTAGGGTTTAGGGAAGTTTTGGAGCTAGGGATGCCCTTGTGTTGCTGTTTTAGGGCTAAGGGAGGCCCGCCCTCCGGGCTGACCGTTGCAGGTTCAATAGACGACCAGTTCGAATCCTAGGGTTTACAGTTCAAGCTTCAGGGTACGGTTCACCGTTTAGGGTTCAGTGTTGCGGGTTTGGGCAAAGGCATAAGGCTTCTGGACCCAGCCTTCAGCAAAACCCCGACGCAAACACGTAAACCCAAACCTAAACCTCCTGACACCCTGCATAACTTCTATTGTCAGACACATAGCTCCTGTTGCCCTAATGTAGCACCCTGAATAGCAGGATCCTCATTATAAGGACCCCGAAAATTCAGGTACCCCTAATTTCCGGAAGCTCCGACATAGCTCCTGTAGCTTCAGCGAACTTCCGCGCTTCTTGCAAGTTCAGCCGCCCGTCGGAGTCCTGGAGGTTACGGCTCCCCAAACCCCCGGGAGGATCTAGAAAGTAGATCCACTAATTTGGGGCCCTATCCCTAAGGGTCCATGTACCCAAATAGTATATACTTTGGGCCCAATGTACCTATATAGGGAGTAGTTTAAGGCCAAAGTATATACTATTTGGGTGCATGGACCCTTAGGGGTACTTTATAGGAACCCCCATTGAGGGATCGACTTTTTGGATCCTTTCGAGGGCCTGGGTCAGGACTTCCACAACCTAGGACCTTGGGACGGGGTTTAGGGTGCTTAGGGGTTTAAGGCTTTAGGATGCACTATACCAAACTTCGACCACCAGCAAAAATCAGATGTTTTAGCTGTTTCTTGGGGACTATCATAATAACCAAAGATTAATAAATCATATCTTAGTACCCCTAGGTGCAGGTTTAAGGGGTTTCTTTCCCACGGAAGAGGCTCTGAGGCAGAAAAACTCCTGAACCTACTTGTCGGGAACCATGGGGAACTAAAGGTTAACCTTTGGGTGAAAATATAGGGATTATATATATGTATATATATATATATATATGGGGACTATACTACCCAAAAAAGGTTAAAGCGCGACGTGGAATAAGCTGCGTCCCCAGCGAAAGGCGTGAGACGAGCTTCGCGAATTTGCGAATTAAGCTCAGAAATGTGGTGGGAAGCAGGCCGGCAACGGACGAGGTGTGATTCGGGGGATGCGATACGAATGCTTCAGGACTCGGACTCCTGGCACTATTATGGATTCGAGAAGGTGTCGAACGTAGGACCCTGAAAGGAGGTTGGGTCGGGATCTCAAAGAGGGAACAACATTGGTGAACCCGTAAGATGACAATGATCGCAGATTTTTCTCGGAGATAAGGAGTCAACTTCAAAGAGGTATTGAGGAGATCAACAAATTTCACAAAGGTACCTGCGGCTTGCGTTAAAACCTGCGGGGGTAGTCGGGTGACTTCGGAGTGGTTTGGGAGGAAATAAACTGCCGGGGATTTGCGATTCACCTGAGGTGCATCACGGAAACTAGACCCCTTGCGGACTTTAACGATACACCCTAAAACCCCAAACCCTACACCTTAACCCCTAAACCTGGACCCTAAACTCTAACCCCTCAAACGTCGGTCCTGGTCGAAGTGCCCGAAAACATCGCACTTCAACTGGTCGCCTGGATCAAAGACGTGAGCCAGAAAGGGGTAAAGCTACAATGCAGGGCCCTCAACTTTCAATTACATGCGTTACCCATGCAAAACAGGGGCCACTATGGACTAAACCCGGGTTAGAGGGTTATGTTTTTTATCGTACATTTATTTGCGGCATCAGGATACCATTGCTTACTGTGCAGACAAGTGTGTAATTTATCATCGGCATTTCAATTTTCAACCATGCATTTTAACAGCAGCGTAGAGAACCGTCACCGCCCAGTACTACCGGCACCGCAGCGCGTCACCCTCCACCCTTCGAAGACGGGCGGAGGGGCAGGAGGGTGGAGGGTGGTTTGCGGGGGAGGAAAGGGCCGAGCTGGGTGTTCCGAACCGAGCCAAACGTTACAACGCTACGGTAAGCCGCCACGAACCCAAAGCGAACACGACTCCATGGTAATGCCCTCAACCTGTGCAAGATCTCCACGCACCGAGAGTGACCACCAGATGTACCTCGCCCGATAAATTAGAATCATACCAATTCGACTGGGGCATGGCTCTGACCCTGGAAGCTGCACGATCCACAGTATACGTCCTGTAGTAAACCTAAACCCCGAAAAAGGGGAGCCGGACCCAAACAAGAAGCAGCGAGTCTTCAAAAACTTGCTTCAATCCACAGAGGCCGGACACGGCTTAGGGTGTAGGTTTTTTTTTTTTAGGGTGTAGGGTTTAGGGTTTAGGGCTTAGGGAGAATCCTCGGCTGGGACGCTGGCGTGGGGCCATGGTGCTGCTCTGGGAGAGCTTCCTCAGAACAGCGGCCTCTGGCTGGTGTTTGGGTTTAGGGTTTTAGGGTTTAGGGCTTTAGGGCTTTAGGGTTTTAGGGTTTTAGGGTTTTAGGGGTTAGGGTTTAGGGTTTTATTTTTTTCGGGTTTTAGGGTTTAGGGTTTTAGGGCTTTAGGGTTTAGGGGTTTAGGGGCTTAGGGTTTAGGGATGTAGATTGTAGAGAGGCATGACTGGCTCAGA